TTGCTAGATGTGGAAAGTAAGCATCATTCGTCACTAACCGACTACGAAAATAAGCGACAGAAACAAGTTGAAATACTAAAAGCTGACTACGAAAATCGTATCGAAAAGATCAAAGAAATGATGAGTATGGAACAATCAGAAAAATTAAATACTCAGGAAGAATTTGTAAAAACAGAGATAAAGCGTGATTACGATGAAAAATTGTTATCACTGCAGAATAAGTTAGATATCTCTATGAATAATGCAGCTAGTAGTGAAAAGTTATTACAAGAAATGAAGGATAGAAATAAGAGTTTAAATGGAAAAGTAGAGGCTTTAAAAGTTGCACTAGATAAAGAAGAGAATAATAGGCGACAATTATTAGCTGATCAAGAATTAATGATACAGTCCTTACGCGAAGAACACTCCCGTACAGAACAAAGTATTAAAGAAGATCTAGAAGCTAAGCTGGATGAGACTAAAAACTATTTTGATCAGTTACTTAATACGAAAGACAATGATTACGCTAAACAATTAGCTCTATCGCAAGAAGAATATGACAATCACATTAAAGATCTCAAAGAGACTAACAAAATAAATACTACCGCTGAAGTTGATACAGCTACTACACAGTTAAAGGAGTCACATCAAGTTGCTCTTTCAAATTTAGAAGAATATTATCGATCACAAATACAACATATTGAAGATAGCTATAAATCAGAGTTAACTTCCGCTTCCTCTTCTATAGAGCGACTAACGACTGAACATAAACTACAGTTATCTGATATGGAAAAGAAATCCAAAGACAGTGAAGCTGCACTAAGGGATGAACTTGAAGAAAGGATAAAGTTTATGGAGAAAGAACACAATCAAAAACTAAAAGATATGGAAGAAGAATATAATGTTAAAGCTGCTGAGTCAACACAATCACATCAAGCCACTTTATCCGAAGTAAAGGAAAATTTTAAATCAAAGATCGACAGCTATAAGCGAAAATTAGAATTGAAATATAATGCAGCGCAGGCCTCGAATGAATCGCTAAAATCTGAGCATGATCAGGAATTATCAAAGTTAATGCAACAACATGAAAATGATAAAGTTAGCTTAAGGTCTGAATTCGATGATAAAATTGAACGAATTAAATTAGATTATGAGAAGAAGCTAACTGAAGCAGAAGAGCGGCACAATCAAAACATTAATTGCCTTCAAGAATCTGTTAAAGAAAATCAAGTTATAGTTAATAAGTTGGAAAATAACAGTAAACAGTCAGCGCAATTCTTTCAGTCGATATCTGATACTGTTAAAGTATATTTACAAGATACAAAGACCACTCTACACAAGTTGAAATTAGATTATGGTTCTGTTATAAAAGTAGACGCTGATGCAATATCTATAAATGTAGATACGGATATAGAATTAAATAATATAGCCCAAGTCATACAATCATTAAGACAGCATAGTTTAGAGAATTTAGTTGCGCTTGGATCATTTCATGAGCGCGTAGTGAAAGAAAAGGAAACTGAATTCAAAGAGCAGATAGCGAAACAGGAGTTAGAGTACAAAACACAGTTAGAAGTTGTTAATAAGTCATTAAGAAACGTAAATGGAGTAGTAACTGCCTTGCAAGAGGAACTATTGGATACAAAAAAAAGCAATAGTGACAATATTAGATCGATTCAAGAGGCTTGCGATCAAAAAACTTTAGAAGCTGTCAATACAGAAAAGGAGCAGATAAAAGCACTAAAAAAGAGGTATGAAGATGAAATTGATGAAATTAAACAGAGTCAAAGAGTTACAGTAAATCAAGTCAGAGAGGAGCATCAAAAAATCATTAACGACTTGAAAGCGCAATATGATATTCAAATACAGTCCAGTCATGATCAACTCCGCGAGCTACAAGAAGCCTACGATCAATTAACTTTAACGATGTTGGATAAAGATAAAAATTATGCAAGCCAACAGGATGAACAACAAACTAAATTTAATATTCACATAAAAGAAGTACATGCAGATTATAAGAATCAAATTCAAAAAGCAGTCGATTCGTATGAAAAACGACTTGTAGATGTAAATGATCAATTGCAGCAACTATATAGAAAAAAAACAGAAGTTGAAAAGGCATCGACTGTAGCAGCAAGTGAGTTGGAAGGGCACGTGCAAATGATGAAAGTTAATCTAGACAAAAACCAGGAAATATTGAAATCCAAAGATCAAGAGATTACTACATTAGTATCGAAAAATCAATCTCTCATAAAGGAAATTGAAGTATTAAAGGGTGAAGTTCATATTAGCACCTCAAAAATGCAGGAAGCCTTGATAGATAGTGAAGCTAAACATTCAGAAATTCAAGCTAAATATGGAAAAGAAATTGAACTATTAGAAGCAAGTAAAGTGGAGTTAGAAAGTACTGTTGAAAATCAAGCGAAAAAAATCGAAATATTCCAAAAATCGATAGAAGAAGATTTTGTAGAGATCACTAGCAAAGAAAAAGTTATTTTATCTATCACGAAAGAATTGGAAGAAACCAGAAGCAAGTTAAAAGCAAGTGAATTATACGTCATGGATAAAATAAAAGAGCATGAAAATGAAGTTGATGGGTTAAAGAAGAAATTTAAAAGTGCTTATCAAAGTAAAATAAGAGAAATGAATGATGATTTCAAGAAGACATTAAGTAAAACAGAGCAAGAACATCAAGTAAATATAGAAAATTTACAAAAAAGTACTGCGGATGAATTAAAAGATATGCAGCTAAAATCAACAAATAGTTATGAATTGAAATTGAATGAGCATACAGCAACAATCGAAAGATTTAGAGAAGAAATCAATCAATTACAGAACGAAAGAGTTAAACTCATGGAAACTATTGATGAACTAGGAGGAAATAATAACCAGTTATCCAAAAAGGTAAGAGAAATCAATATAAAATACGAGGAACTTCAGCAGCAATTGGCTGATGCAAAAAATAAGTATACTGCTGAAGGTCATGATAATGAAATGGCTGTAAAAGAATTGGAGGTAGAATTAGATAGTGCCAAAGATGAGGTTGAAAAGCTACGGCAAGTCAATAATGAATTAGAAAATAAAATTGTTATATTAACAGAGGATAGTCACAGTAAAGAAATTAAAGTTAAGGACATCATGAAAGAGAAGGAGGACATTGCATCAGAACTTAGACGTGCAGAAGAAAGCAGCAGCGATGCTGAGAAATTGAGACTTACTATGCTTACTAATATAGAAATATTACAGCGAGATAAAACTGCAGCAGAAAGTGATTTAATTTCGATGCAAGAACAATTAGAACAGGCTTGTAGTGATCGTGAAATGATCTCTAAACGATTAGAACTTTTAGAATCAGGAAAGCGAGAAACTGAGAAACAAATCACTGATGATTATCAGATAAAGCTTGATGATGCTCAATTAGAACTAAGTCGACTTAAAATGCAATTGACAAGTAAGGATATTGAGTTAGAGTCGATCACTAAACAACATCAGGATAATCAATTGAATGCTGAAGTATTGCATCGCAATGAATTAAAACAGCAAGAAATTGATGCAGAAAAGAAAATAGATGAATATCGAAATAACATTAAATTACTGGAATCAGAAATTGATTCGTTAAAGCAAGAAGTAAAAGAAGCAAAAATCCATTATGATGAATCGATTATATTAAGGTTAAGTGATGCAAAAAAAGATCACAATACCGCTTTAGCTTTAAAAGGTGAAGAAATTGCTAACTTGAAGAGTCAACGCTTACAATTACAACAAGATCATTTTGATCAAATCGAGAAAATAACGAAAGATTATGAAATTAAGCTAGCAGATAGCATGAAAGCCAATGAAAGTAAAGATGAAGAATTAGATAACTATAAGAAAATGTTAGAAAATAAGAAAGCAATTCATGCTGCTCAAGTTGATGTCTTTAAACGTCAGTTAGACGAATTAACTGATAAAGAACAAACAACTAAAGAACAAGCTAGCAAACTTGACGATTTACAGCAGCAATTAAATGAAAGGACTCTGCAGTACGAAAAAGATTTGCAAGAGAGAGAGTTCAAATACCAGCGAGATTATGAGAAATATAAGCAAGATATTGATGAACAGTTACTAGCCAAAGAGGCCGAATTTGATGCTAATATGAAACATGCTATGAAAGAATTTCATAGAAAATTAGAACAAAAAGAAATTGAAACAATCAATACGATCGATAAAGCCAACGCAGAAAATGAAAAACGATGTCATGAAATTACTCAACAACATCAGACGCACATATCACGATTAGAAAAACATGTAACAGATCAGCAGGAAAAACTAGACGACTTAATAAAGGAAAACAATGATCATCGAATAGTATTAAAAACCAGGAAAAGCGAACACGAGGATCAAATAGCTAATTTAAATAGTCGCGTTGAAGAGTTGGAGTACCAGCTGCAGCAAGCACAAAATGATATTCTTAATAATCCAGTTGAAAATTTAAATCAGGTACTGTAGTTGGTTACTAACCAGATTTATTAATATATTCACGGTAGCCAAATACGGCCACAAAAACAATCCTGATAGTATATTAACTAGTACTTAAAATATGTTAAAATGAGTTGAATAGTACATTATCGCCTTTAAGCTATTAGTATGAGAATGTGCGTACATTATTTAGCTAGGTAAAATGTATCAGTTTGATCTATTAGGACCGATATTGGTATTAGAACGACTAGCTGGCTAAAGTTGTGATAGTGGTAGTTAATAGTATAGCTAATCCTAATCTAAACCCTAGCTGTACAAGAGGTGTAAATTATTCTTAAGGCATCGAATAGTTGCAATTGGTAGATGTATGACAACTAATGCTACAGATAGATGTCAACGGCAATGATTTTTGGAATCTGGTATTAAAATAGTCAATCTATGTATTAAAAGCTAGTTATTGTTAAAGCTTACTTTTATTTGATTAGTTATACCGTAAAGCTAATCATAAAACTATACAAGCGGGATCAAAAGTATAGATGCTATTTCATACGTACATCATAATAATGGTATATGCATAATTATCATAGGAAAATGAATTACTAAATAAAAAAGACAAATCTAGGCTAGCACAACTTGAAGAAGAAAATGAAAACTTGAAGGTAGAGCTGATCGTGTAAACTAACTACTCAGTAATGGTATTAAACAAAAATTTATAAATTTCGAAGTATGAATTAGAAGATCGACCCAAATTTATGTTCCAATCTTGAATATGGATACAACTGCTCTATTTTATACAGTATTAAGATAGAGTAATAATGTATTTTTTCTTATTCCTATCAAAATTGTATATTTTATAGCTACGGTTACAGCAGAGAGTGAACGCTGAAGAGGGATTCGCGCAGAACGTATAAGATTAACAGATTTTCAATTAATTTTCAGTATATGAAGGGCTTTTTTTAAGAATTTACCGGATATTATAAGTATTTTTTAATCTTTTACGATAGGCCTCTGTTAATTCTAGCTTTAGTGAAGTAAATCAAAGATTTTTCGGTGATTCTCCACAAAGTTTCTATGGTAAAAATGCCTATTATAATGATAATATGGAAGAGCGGTCATTTTCTTCAGATGGAGCACCTCTGTCACCATCTAAGGATTCACCACCCAGCGCAGCGGAGTTTGAAGTTAGTTATGCTCTTAAAAACTCATTTTGATAGCCTTTTGCTATGCTTAAAGCATACTCGTATGTAATACGCTATTTTTATTTTAAATTAGTATTTAAGAAATGCTTTATTTCAATACATGGTCGGCCGTGAAAGATTGGTAAGTAAACTTTTGTATTCGTAGGAGATGTCTACATTGATATTTGAAAGTAGATTTGTTATAATTTATAAGCATTTGCTTTTATCAAGCTAAAATTTCATCTGTTTTATATTTTATCGCCCATTGCTATAGCAAATGAGTAAGGTCTTGGTTGCTTTAGCTCGTTTTACCTCAATTCAATCACAAAAGATTCTAGCCAAAGAACAGGAAAGGGATAAAAACGTAAGTATTATCTGAAGATCTTATTAGCTTGAGTTCAACGTACTGCAGTAGTAATTTATTTTGATATGGAACTACAGCTAGTTACACTAGATTATCAAGCTGTTGATATCTATATATAGCGTGCGTTTATTTCTTCAAAATAACAATTTTTACTGAAATATTTTTTGTAGTGATAACATAATTAATTTAATTTAAGAATAATAGTAGTCTATCTGTCACTCTATTTAGGTTTTTATAGTGAAATAAAGTGGATGTTTATCTTTTTTTCATCTGTTATCGTTAACTGCTTTATCGATTATTTCGATTGCAGAAATCGTGGCTAGGTTGATTACAAATCACCCAACGCGTAGGATAATCCTATTTTAAGGGTATTAAATAGAATCAAATTGCGAAATGGCTCTCAAGTGTCACACTTAGCAATTATTTAATGCTATATTTATATTTATAGATGTAAATTGTAAGGGGAATAATTCAAACTGTATAGATCATACATCTACAACTTCGATATTGACATTGTTTTAAGCAAAGTTTAATTTTAAAGCATTGTACTCGTACAGAGAAAATACTGTTGTATTATAGTATACTGAGAGCTACTTAAAATACTAATTGTACAAATACTTATTACTTAGCAAGAGCAGAAATAGTAAAAATGTAAGAATTTCTTAAAACCGGAAATTTTTATTTAAACTACAATGTTAGTTGCCGATAACATGTTGTGAAATAGATAAATGTTGGAGTTATCAATTGCTGTATCGTACTGATATCGACTGTCATTCTGAAAAGCATCTATTGTTAACGTCACATGTTTCTCTCATAAGATGGTTTTAGACTAGATGTAAGACAATCTGTTATTTTTATATAGACTGAAGATGCTAGCTTTGATAATTACTAAATCAATAATTTTTTTTAGTTGCTGCTAGCATAAATAGTTGCGTAGTTGTTTACCATATGAAACAATATTCTACGCAGTAGAAATATTGTTAAATATTATCATATCATTTATTTGATGACAATTAAAGCTTACAACGATATCTAAATTTATATATTAAGTGTATGTTAATGGTCTCGATGATAAAATTTGTTTGGTGTGACATATTATTAATCGAAAATCGGTAGGAAGACAAAATAACAGGTAACCTGTTAACTACAGTATGCTCGGCTTTTATAAGCAATGCTTATTTACTCTTAAATTAAAAGGTTTGGCGATGATACTGATTGTATACTAAACGTTATTGAAATAGAATTAGACACTTTCTCCAATTCTTAGAATAGCCATTATAATTTCATTATTTGACTACTAGATAATATCAGTTTAAGGCATTCAAGAAATTAAAATATCTATCATAGATTGAGTGTTAATTCAACACGTAGAGTATACTGATCTGAGTTTGCCAAAGGTGCTTGCCGATCTGCCATAAGGTAGTGAATCATTGATTAACGGACATCTAAATCGATCAAGATTTGATATTATCTGAAAGTATCAATAAGCTCTCTACGTGAAATGTAAGGCCTACTATATTTATTCTTGTAATGGTTCGATAGAATAAAGCATGTTAGTGGGCCGTGGATGATGAAGCGGTAAAGTAAGATTATTAAATTATGTACCTAACGTAGTAGCTGTGAGGCTATTACAATACTCTAAGCAGCGAATGAACTCTTTCATAATTGAACCAGGTTTGTCAACCGGATTATGTAAAGACCGTCACAAGGTCACGTATTGTATCGCATTAAGAAGTTTCTACATCTAGCTAAATCCACAATAATTAGACTTAGTTATTTTTTCTTTTAATACTTTTACTTCATGGTAGTAGCATTATTCTACAACAATAAATAAATTGATAACGATGTTGTGGAATATCTATAGTTTGATAATTTTTCTTTTATAGATTTGGTTGAATTAAAATCTCTAGAAAGTATATAGGCCATACTAAAATATCGCATGCATCTAAAGGACTTAAGATTACTCAATTAAAGGATACTACCGGTTAACCTGTTGTCTGTCATAAGAAAACACGAGTATTGTAGCTATGATGTTAGCTTTATTTATTATATTAGCACAGTACCAATGATAATAAGCTGACCGACACTTATCTCTAATTATAATTATTTATGCACTATTATTGCCTTATTTTGCATTATAAGAGCAAAAGATCAAAATGCTAGATAGGCTAAACTGCCGTTGCTGCCTTGTAGTTTTAGGTAGAGCAAATAAATAGCTTCCATTAGAAACATACATAGTGTAATAATACACACCCTTAATATTATTACGAAGAAAGTGACAATTTTTTCGCATTGTTATGTTTTCGTATAGAATCAGCATAAGTAGTTACAGTAAATAATCGTATACTCACGTAATATTATCCATATTATATTAATTTAATGAATATCTACGCAACTCAGCTGTGAATAGGATCGTAGCATAATATAAGCTGTGGGTTTTGTAGCTGAATTTGCAGGAGATTTGTGGTTACTGTGATGTGTTGGCAATGATGAGATTACTAATATTTTAGGCTTTATACTGTAGGCAATTGTCAAGGAGTGAGCGAGTCTGATATTAGAATCATGGTTTCCTCCTAGTTGTAAACCTCGAAGTGCATTATCAGTATTATAAGTTTTAGGGTAATAATTTCCCAGCTGCTATATATAATTGTAAAATATCATAAAATATAAAAAGAGAATCTCATTAGAAGCATTACGTGTCATTAAAGTCTTATAGCAATCAACAAACATGTATCAAAATATGGAAATAGAATATTGAGGTAAGATTGTACTAATGTTTACGATAACGAAATAGTTTACTTAGTTTCTTTTACAATTAATAATTGGAGCTATCTCGATATATATCTTCATTATAAATACCAAAGTGACTATTATTGTTTGATTATTGTTAACAACATGAGCTACTGTAGCGGAATATGATTCCTTGAGTTATAAAACATGTAAATAAGTTTTTATTGTCCACGTAGATTCGAAATAGTCTAAAAATTCAAGAGTTATTGCTGAGATATTGATTGATATTAACAATGTGACCTAGTAAAAGCCTTTTTGAACTATCATTTACATGTATATTATTCCTGATCCAGACTCGAAATATATCAGAAATTAATAGCTATAACTATATTGGTGAATAATATTAACAATATGATTTAGGAAAACATGATTGCTTGAAATATAGCGTGCATATAAATTATTATCTTCTCAAGCTGTCAATACTCTCAAAATTTAATGAACATTGTTGTTTGTCGGATATGCCCATTCTAATTATTCTAATTTTTCAAAAGTTATAATATCTAATACTTCAGCAGTAACACGATTCGAATAAAAGCCAGCGGTAGATCATAAAATTGTACTTTTAAAAGTTTCTAGAAATTTCTGTTTACCTTTTTTTCCATACCCAAATAATAAGTGTATTATACTTACCAGGCAGAAAGTATTATTTAAGAAAGTATCACATTAAAAATATGATATATTTTTTGGCAAGTTAAAGTACCGATAAGTTATCGTTTTAGTGAGGATAGGAAAGGGTGAAATTTATTCTGTTATTAGTAAATTACTTTTCTACCATAATCATAAATAGCACTTTTAAATTGTGAAGATCAAAAACAAGATAAAATATCAGAATACGCTCACTATGTATTGAAGGCTATAGCAAGTACGAGCATAACGGCTGTAGCTATCGTAGTAGAAATCCTCACCTGATGTTATTAACTTAATTCTAGTATCTAATTGTTTCAATCTACTTTTGAAATGCCTGATAAGTTACAAGGTGTCGATATTACCCCAAAGTAGAATGATTAGTGCTTCAATAGTAATAAAATTATTGATAACTCTTTATATTTAGATTCGTTATCTTGGCAATTTTATGTAATGAAATTGGGCAATTAATTACTTCTTGCAATAATATTTAAATTAATATTGCATATCTGATTAAGATAGTAAAGCTCCAATAATATATTATCTTAATTACTTTTGATAGTTCTTATATTCCTTGCTTGTTATAACCGCCTTGTTGGCATTCGCACTGCCATTACTCTTAGCTCATCTTTTGGTGTGCTTGTCATTATAAATAGAGGTTACCAATGTTAGGAGTAATAATAATAATTCTGCTGTGTAAATAAACATAAATTAAGTGAATGTACAAAAAGACTAACAAAATCTTAATGCTCCACCCTCAGACTGCAGCTGTGAATCTTAGGATTTGCTTAATATCGTAGTACAATTTATTTTAATTTAGGAAAACAAATATGAATACTACACATAGATGTTTTTTAATAAAAATTTTACCATACTATATTTAGACAATGAATTCCCAAATGTTAAGAATATGTTTTCTATGTCACAAATTAAGTTATCTAGCAACAAAAAAGATTAAAAGCTTTATTAAGATCATTTCATATAGGATTTAGGGTTTATACTTATATACTGGAAAGCATTTTAATTAATACTGCAGCACTATGATGATGGAGGTAATTGGAGCGGAAATTAGAAGTTTCTACAGTCTTGCTAGATACTAACGGAATTTATTAGCCAATATAAGGTCAGGCGTTGCAGATTATGATCTTACTGTATCGTATTATTGAAAGAAATAAATCGAAATCAAGTGCAAAAGAAATCATATACAACGAATTTGATTCCAAAGTAGAAAAAAATAAAAATAAAAATGAACAAGTGATTAATCTAATTAAGGATAGGCACCATTGGAAGAAGTAAATCGTCTTTTAGCCTTAGACTACAATTAATTTCAAACAATCTATTGACGATTTTATCCATATATTTATGCTGTAATACGTATACTCCAGCAAGTTTCTACAATGCTAGTTTAAATTTCTAGCCTTCCTTACCAACGGTAGCACTAGTGATGGCCGCTAAAACATTAATCACAATAATGAATGATTTGAATAACTGAACTTGTAAATTAAATATCTGAATATCCATGAGAAATAAAATATCCATTACCGGGAATATGTAAGCGTATAATGTAACTTTACAATAATATTGACGATAGTACAGTACTAATTAATTAATAAGATGTAAGTATTATGCTTGAGATCCGTGCTATTATATTATTACAACAATAATAAAACAAGATGTTCAATAGTTACTAATTTCGAAATTTTGTCTCACAGACTGTAGGGCTTTTATTAGCGCTGTGTCCTTAAATAAAATTGTGAAGATATCGGTGATGGTAAACAAAAAGATCAAATACTTTGTTCAGATTACTTAACTTAGATTATGACTTATCTATTCATGCGGGTTTGACATAGATATTACAAGAATGTTGGATTAAATTATTATTTGTGAGAAATTTTTAATAGCTAAAATACAGTG